TTCTCTCTTTCTCTCTCTCTCTCTCTCTTTCTCTCTCTCTTTCTTTGACGATAATAAAATTTTCTTTCTAATATTTTCCATGTATCAGCTACGATAAAGATGAATGTTTCGAAGTCGATCCTCTTTTCCGTAAGCACGTACAATCTCGTATTCTGCGGCAGAACGAAAAATGCAATTGCTTCAAAGAAAAATCCAGCGTGCAATTAGTGATACACGAAAGAGAATAAGGTGCGGAATAGATAAGCGCGAGATGGCAAAGGATATTTTTCGCAGCCGCTATCGATCCTTTGCGTCACGCAACATCGTGACGGACTTCAAAGGACGATTAGAACACACAGACCAGCCCGGTAATTCCACACACGTGCCACAATTCCCTGCTACTCTCGCTGAGAGGGTGACGAGCGCGCCGCGGTCCTGAAATTATCTCGGAGAAAACGGAAACACTTTTGAGATGCAAGGCTCGTTAAAAGTTGCTCGGTTCGTTTGAAGCCTTGTCTTGTTCGCCTTGTCCGCGCCATTTTCTTTCTTCTCCGTTCTTTTCTTTCCCTCCCACCTTCCTCTTTCGGCTTTGCCCGCGTTGCGAATAAAAATGCGAGATAATCCTGGCGCGCGCGTTCTCTCCGCCACGTCGGCGGCGGTATTACAAGTTTCAATTTGCAAGGGAAACGGAAGGCGCAAGATGCACGCGCGGCTCGGTTACATCATCGTCACGCACGCCGAATCTCGTTCGCATTGATGCGAGACAGAATTTAGAAGCTGCCAGGCGTGATCGCGCGCGACCGACTTATGAATTTATACTTATTGCGGTGAGACACCGCGTTAACTTTTCGGATTAGAACTTCGCCGGAGCGAGGCACAGGCCGTATCCTTGCGCCAACATCATACACCTTCCACTCGCGCTCTCATTCCCGCGAATCCCTTCCTCTCCCTCTCCTTTTCTCGTAATACTCGAGCGAGACGGAAAATACACTCCGAAGTTGCGAGCAACTTCCCTTACAAAGGCAACTCTCTCTCTCCGAGATCCGTCGCGCCACGTCGTGTCACATCTTCCCGGTGAGAGAAGTGGATTTTAAAGAAATTCCGTTAAAAACGCCGTTAAGTCTCTCCACCGCGACATAGCCGCGGATCCCGCAACGTAATATCTCCGTCAATTTTCAGTTAACTTTAACGAGAATTCCATTCGACGCTCATGCCACGACGTGCTACCACGTAGCTGAGATATTTAGAAGGTGCTTGAGAATTTGTGACGGATAAAAGTGGTGCAAATTAAAGTATCGTCAAGCGGATTTCACCTTCGTACATCTCGAGGAAACTCATCTGCTGTTATCTCATATACACATCTTTCGAAACGACCGGCAACACTCTCTCTCTCTCTCTCTCTCTCTCTCTCTCTCTCTCTCTCTCT